TTTACAAAGCTTGATCTTCGCTCGGGATACCACCAGTTACCTCTCGCTGAGGAAAGTCGACACATAACCACATTTGTAACGCACAAAGGACTCTACCGCTATAAGAAGTTGAATTTTGGCACCAATTCGGCAAGTGAAATCTTCCAACATGTAATTAGCGAACAAATCCGTGACATTCCGAATGCCATCAACATTAGTGATGACATAATTATCTTTGGCATAACCCAAGCTGAGCATGACAAAGCTCTTCATGAAATTTTTGAGCGGTTTTCACTCATTGGATTAACTTTCAACAAAGACAAATGTGAGTTCAGTCAATCGCAGCTCACATTTTTTGGTTTTGTCTTCTCAGGTGATGGCATTTCACCGGATCCAGCGAAGGTTTCAGCGATTCACAACTGCCCACCTCCAAATTCAATTAAAGCTGTTCGGAGTTTCCTTGGGATGGTGACATATTGTGCGAAATTTATCCCTAATTTCAGTGATCTCACAGAGCCTTTGCGAGAATTAACAAGAAAAAATGTGCCTTTTTGCTGGACATCTAGGCATGCTAAATCCTTCAACGCAGTAAAAGCTGCCCTCACAAGTGCAACAGTTATGGCATATTTTGATCAAACCAAGGAAACAGAACTTATCACTAATGCATCACCTTTTGGTCTCTCAGCTATTCTGACACAGAAAGTCCCAGGATCAGACCAACAAAATGTTGTTGCATATATCAGTCGTTCGCTGTCGGATGTTGAGAGACGATACTGTCAAACAGAGCGAGAAGCTCTTGCAATTGTGTGGGCAATTGAACGTTTACATATCTATCTATACGGAGGACATTTTACTCTGATAACTGATTGCAAACCAGTCGAGTTGATTTTAAATAATCCACAATCAAGACCTCCAGCCAGAATTGAGAGATGGAATTTACGCTTGCAAGATTATGACTTTAATGTAAGGTATACAAAGGGACTTGACAATCCATCAGATTTCCTATCTCGACATTTACCTGTTAACAACACCACTGATGACAGACAGTTCCAAACAATGGCTGACAATTATGTTTGTTTCCTTACCCAACATGCTGTGCCAAGAGCAATGACTCTGCCTGAAATACAACAAGCCACCATGGCTGATTCAACATTACAGATCCTAAGCAACCTCATCACAACAGGTAAATGGCATTTAATCGACTCTCTAGACGTACAATCCAATCCCAATGTAAAGGTTTTGGACTTGAAAGCATGTGAGAAAATTAAAACAGAACTTACACTAAACGAGCATGATGGAATTATATTACGAGGCTCACGAATTGTGCTTCCAGAAAGCCTTAGACTAAAGGCTGTTCAAATTGCTCATGAAGGCCACCAAGGGCTAGTAAAAACTAAACAGTTGTTGCGAGAAAAGGTTTGGTATCCAGGTATAGACAAGCTTGCTAAGCACACAGTGGATACTTGTTTGTTATGTCAGGCAAATGGACCAAACAGTCACCAAGAACCACTGCGAATGACGACGCTGCCTCCCCAATCCTGGCATACAGTGAACATTGATTTTTGTGGACCATTTCTAGGTGGTTCATATCTGTTAGTGATTATTGATGCATATTCACGATTTCCAGAGGTGGAAATTGTAAGTTCAACATCTGCAAAATCAACAATATTGAAACTTGAACGAATTTTTGCCACACATGGTATTCCAAAGGTGTTAAAGAGTGATAACGGTCCACCATTCCAGAGCCATGAATTTAGTCTGTACTTGAAAGAACTCGGCATTAAACATAAACCAAGCTCACCATTATGGCTCCAAGGAAATGGACAAGCCGAGAACTTTATGAAACCACTTGTAAAGGCTGTGAAATCTGCCCATCATGAAAACAAAGACTGGAAACGTGAAATGTTTAAATTTTTGCTCAACTACAGAGCTACCCCACATACCACCACTGGCAAGTCACCGTCCGAGTTGCTATACAACCGTAAGATTCAAACAAAATTACCTCAAGTGACAGTCGAAAATGATTCTTCACTTCATCAAGAGGTGAAGGAGAGAGATGAAAGGTTGAAAAAGAACCAAAAAGAATATGCTGATTCCAAAAGAAGAGTTAAGTGTGCTGACATCAAGAAAAGTGATTTAGTTTTGGTGCGGCAACCGAAAGCAAATAAAATGTCCACAAAATACGATCCAATACCATATGAAGTCACAAATCGCCGTGGGAACAGAATCACAGCAATTAGGAATGGGAAATATATAACTCGGAACATTTCGTTCTTTAAAAAGTATCACCCCAGACATGGCAGATCGTTGGAGTCAACAGAGATAATGGATGAAGAAAATTATTCCTCAGATGAAGATGTCCACGAAGAGCATGAACAGTATGATGGACTGAGACAGAATGATCGTCCGCGGCAGAACAATGGTCAGAGACAAGATGATGGTCCGAGATATCCGGCAAGAGAAAGACAGCGGGTGTACAGATATGGAAATAACATTTATGATTGACCTGGACTAAAACAGATAAGATACAGTTTAAACATTATATGCATATTTTGTTATAGTTAGTACTAGAGTTCTTATTTAAATCAAGGGAGGGATGCAATGTTGACATTATTGACACTAGCACACACGTGACTAGAAAGTTAGTTAAGTATTTTAGAAGCACGAGGCTAGGGAACCGGGAAGTAATTGGATACGTACTATGCTGTTTGTACAAGTTGTTTGATATCTATTGTTATACTTAAAAGTGCTTGATATTGATACAAAACCACGAACATTACAATATCTGCAACTTTCGCTGAAACATAGGAGCTGCTGGACCCACTGTCAATAAGTGCTCGCGTTGTTATCCCGTCTACTTTCACCAAGACTACTGGGAATACCCCCTCTCCTACTTCATTTGCGGTCAAAGCGATTTTTCTTTCCTCTGATGTAGTCGATTTATCACATATAGATGTGTGGTGCCGCTTACCACACTTTTGGCACGAATTTTTACTCTGACATTTGGCTGCTTGGTGGCTCCCGAGAGCACAGTTGAAGCAAAGATGTTTCTTGGCAAGGATTTGTTTGCGATCAGCGACTGTTGTTACTTTCTGACAGTCATTAGCTTTGTGATCACTAGAATCACAATATACACAACCCCGTCCTAGACGAGAATGAAACAGTTTCATCTCTCGTCTCTTCTTCTCTTGCTCTTCGTCCCGATCACGATGTGATGTATCAACTGGATTCCTGCGCACCCACAGCCGCAAGGCTTCTGCAAGTTTGTCCAGATCCCAAGACTCCCATTCCTTAGCTGATCTTACCAAATCTCCCCGAATCGCCGGTAATTTGTCAAGTGTCAATGAGGTCAGACCATTCACGCCATCCAACTTTTTCATAGGCTGCAAGGACTGTACACAGTACGTCAACTTTTCGCTGAACTCGCTGATCCTTTTTGGGTTATTCGATGTTATTAACGGTAAATCTAGTATGTTCTTACTATATGCTTTCACAATCTCGCTTTCTTTCCCGTATTTCTCACACAATATAGCTTTCGCCCGATTATAACCTTCGGAAGTAAACGGAAGTGACTCGAAGTCACGTCGTACTTTGTCGCCAAGTAACTCTTTTAGATACGAAAATTTCACAACGTTTGCGATGCCAGATTTCTCTATAGATTCGCTGAATTGTCCCCAAAAACGATTCCAGTCGGTGAATGACCCGTCGAACTTCGTTATTACTAGCTTTGGCAGCTTTACGGCAACTTCTTTCTCCGCTCCAATGGTTTGTTTACCCAAAACTTTCGTATTCTGTTCCGATTGAAGTTGTAATTTAGTTTCGTGAAGCTTCATTTCAAACTTGAACTGCTCTTCTCGCGCTATGGATTCTTTCTTTTGCTTGTATTCGTCTTGCCATTTCTCGAGTCGCTTAATATCCTCATCTGCCATCGATAATTTCTCTTCAACTTCAGCATTCCATGTCGTTATTTCATCTTCTGGTTCGTCGTTTGTAATTTTTAGTAGCTCGACTTCGCGACGCGATTGTTCAACATCTTTCGAAAGCGCTTTTAGCGACTCTATTTGGCGATTTATTGCGATATCTTTCGTCGATTCTAACACAGATTCGGTTCTCCCACATGTAATAAGTAGGCTAACTGCTTTAATTTAACATCCAGAACTGCGATTTTCTCATCGGGTTTGGTCGCCATAATATTCAAAATATAGCCACGTCGTCACGAAATAAACATACACGATAATCTCACAATATATTATAAATATACGTACACGATAATATTTATAATCTCAAATTCCGTCTGAAGGTGCCACGTTTCGTAAATTACTCGCCTCCAGAGTACGTATCTACGAAAAATCACTCGTATCGATATTTAAATAAAGTTTTAATGATATATCTTCGCTATATATCGGTAATCTCACAAAAACTCTCTCTGTCAACAACAAAATTATTTCGCTATATAAGCACATGTAAATGCAGCCTTACTATTGGCTGAATTATAGCAGTTTACTTCCGGTCACGCGAGTGTTCGTCACAATCTCCGACACGGGCTTGGTCTGTACGAAAGAGACCTCGGTCCGATATTTCTCTGTACAGACCTCGCGTTCGGTTAATAAGAAGTTATTAAACCAAACTAAACCGATTATTATATATTTTGTTGCAAAAGCCTTAAAGCCTTAGGCCTAGAGTAACAATCTCGTACGTAGAGAAATTAAAACTATATCGAACGCAAACATGAACGAAAGGAGGGTATACATTAAATAAGGAGCAAAACAACATATATAGGTACAAAAACTTACCGAGATAACCATTTTGTTGATAAAATGCATCGACCCAGGCATTCTGGGTCCTTGAATAAATATCTGGAACAAAATTCGCTTTATCCTGTCGACCTTGAATCGTACCGCTTAACCTGCCTTGTTCAATGAGGTCGTTAATCACCGCTGAATAGAAAAAACAAAAACTGTTTGATACCGCTTTGTTGCACCAAGATGGAATTTGATGAAAGTTAGCATGAGTATATACTGCTTGACAAGTTCATCCAGTTTAATAAAGAAACTATCGGCATGCAGTAGACAGCCTATTTCCTGCCTTTCGCTTCTGCGATGCTATAGGTGCGCAGGGGAGATACGGGAAGCGAGGGGGCCTAGTAGCACAATTCGAAAATCAGCCATTCTTGGAGCCATTTTTGCCGATCGAGCCGTCCTAGGTTCTACATATTTACATCGATGTTTTTGTGCAACTTTATGTCTACGGGATGAACAAGGAAGATATTTCGATATGGAAGGAAATACATGTACTGACAGTTCGGGTTTATGAATTTAGGACTTATCCCGCGGTTCAATACCGATCCAGTCAAGCTGGAAGGCCTGGGACCAAACTAGGCAGTAGATCAATGCACTTGAAGGAGTTAAGAGTTTATCATGAGTAGTGATTTGAACATTGGAAAATTTGCAACACTTCCATATTGTGGACACTGCATATAAATTATCTGGAAAAAGTTTGGAAATTCAAGTTTTGCACACTTTCATATAGCGTGGAAATTTTCTACAATACCTATACAGGGTGTCTAAAAAAACGCTATGGAAATTCAACAGGCTATCGTGCATCACAAACGTGGCTAAACAATTAAATTTTTACATACGACGAAAGAACAGTTACTTAGCTTTTCAATGATACTTTTAAATCGTAACGATGATAAATGGCCACATACTCGTCAAATAAAAATTGCAGGTCGAAATCACATTCTTCCACCGTTGGGAATTGCATGGGAAAACGAAACATAGACAATTCCCAAGAGGGAATTAAAATTGAATGTTAAATTATCTAAAATGAACACAACTCGTCATTCTTCGTCTTAAGGCGGTTTTCCAGTTCTCGCACGAAGCTCCTCGCAGCTCGCTGCGAGTACATGCATGAGCACTTTCATCCAATCACAATGCAAAACAGTTTTAAAATTTTAATTAGATGCAAGCACTCGCAGCGAGCTGCGAGGAACTTCGTGCGAGGACTGGAAAACCGCCTTTAGTGGGACAATAGGGAGTTTACGATCTACGACGCGGCCGACTCGACGACGCGCTTTCAAAACAAAGAAATTAGGTGTTTCCACAAACAATAGTATTATGTGTTTTATCGCCATGCAAACCTACAAAGAACTTACAAAGAAATTTGTCATGCAAGACAAAAACTGTCAATAATTTGTGGTCCCATGAGTATTGTCAAACGCGTTGTCATTCTCAACACAACGTTAAAAAAGCATTATTGCGTCTTTCAGGCAACGCGAAAGCTTAATGCGACACAAGAGGTATTACTAAAAGTCGAAATTACAGCAAACATTGCATCGCTTTAGCCGAACGTAGCATTTTGTAAGGTTATTTGAAAGAGTCAAATATTTATTACAGTAATCGAATTGCTTAGCGCTCATTCTTGAGCTAAAATTTAGACCGCGTCGTTGAGCCGGCCGCGTCGCAGATCGTAAACTCCCTAATAACTGAATAAGAACGTCATTAAACATGGTTCAATTAACCCCTGAACAGAGAACATTCGTAATCAAAACGTTTTACGAAACAAATAGCTTGCAACAGGCTCGCGTTGCAGTTTTGGATTGACTAACTTTGCATAATTAATTATTTTCAATTCCCAACGGTGGAAGAATGTGATTTCGACCGGCAATTTTTATTTGACGAGTATGTGCAGGCCATTTCTCATCGTTACGATTTAAGAAAGGTATCATAGAAAAGCTAAATAACAGCTCTTTCGTCCTATGTAAAAATTGAATTGTTTAGCTACAGTACTTGTATGATGCAAGACATCCTGTTGAATTTTCATATAGCGTTTTTTTTAGACACGCTGTAGAAAACCAAAATATGGAAATGGTTTGAAACACCGAGAAGAATGTTGAAAATTGAGGAGTTAGCCGAGTAATTCTTATAACAAAACTTATACTATCAAGACGATACAGTGGTGATTTTCTTTTTGTGTTATTACAACACGTGACGTAGAACACGTAAGAAATATGCAAGTTGAACAGTATACTGTATATACTGCATGACCATCTAACTCAGTTACTGTTTCTATACTCACTGTAAAATAGTTTCTCTTGGAAATCGTACTGAATAATGAGATTGGAAAGTGAGGTAGGTCTAAAATTTAAAAATAAAGGTTGGTTGGCAACAGTCAAGCACATTGCAGACCTGCTATGCCTGTTCTGTTGCATTGTTTAATTATGTATAGTAGATAAAACATGCATGTCCTGTATCTTATTATTTACCTCGTAATAGCGCTAAGAACACCACGGATTCGAGCTGTATGTCTGGCTATAAAAGCATCTGTAAACAACACTCCCCTCTCAAGACGATCAAGCTTGCCATGTATTATTGAACCAAGACGATCTTCTATAGTCTAAGAAACAAAGCATTATTTTAATCTTTAACTTAATGGGACTCACTCCTTATTCAATTCTGAACCGTCTCAAATTTGCACGAATTTGCCTTTCGAGTCTGGGTGCGAATATAGTAGGGAGTTTAAGCTTCACGTTTCCGGGAACGGCAAACGGCAGGTTCGAACTTTCTTGGCAAAATTTTCGTTGAACGTTTTTCGTTTCATATTTTCTTTCTTGCGTGGAAAGAATAATTATGTATTTCAGTTTTAAAACAGCGAGTATAACGCGAAGCTTAAACTCTCTAATAATCTAAAACACCGCAGAAAATCCCTGAGTATTTTGATTCAAAAACACGAGTAAAATAAATAATGCACCCACAGTGATTCAAAATTTTGGGTAAAATTTCAAATGTGGTCAATTTCTGAAAGCCTTTGAATGATAGCTAAACAAAGCTGTAACAATATATTTCAATCATGAAAGTATTGGCAGGCTATAAGTCAGGCTATATATTGCACAAAATGTAAGGCCAAAAACTTGAAAGAACCGAGATTTCAAGCTACAAAAGGTGTTCATATGTTGGCAAACTAACCCCCCCCCCCAAAAAAAAAAAATATCGCGAAGTGCCCGCCACTATACCACAAAGAAACATCATCATTCGTATATAGTAGGATATACAGCCTGCTCCAGAGACACTTTTTGTATACCACAAATTTTTGTGTCGCATATGTTCGCAGGCTATAGAATATCATGTATGTAGGACAGCGCGACATGACACTCATTGTCTGAATATTATGTTGTAAAGAAAACTATTATTTATCATATTTTAGAATTTACAGTTATTGCAATACAGTTTTGAAAAGGTTAAAAAACACGGGGGGCGGTATAGTTAAGGAGAGTTTTACACGCAGAGTCAATTTGGACGCTTACAGTTATACAGTACTCAGTAGAAACGCAGGTGTTGTATACAAGATGCAAAAATCTGTAGTTTGCGGTTGTACAGTGAATAGAGGAAGGATGACGTCAAGATTATCCATTGTTGCTGTTCTGGTTGGTGAGAATCCCTTAATAACAAAAACTGCAATAGTCTACTTAATTAAGAGGTTATCATACCTCAAGCATAAAATCTGTTGTAAAACCAAATGTCTTTGCAAGCTCACCAATCGAGACAAGACCAGATTCCTGGAGTTTTTCATTGATTTCTTCTGCAATGTGATCCAGATAGTGTCTATAAATAAAATATCTACAGTGATTTCTTGCCCATTAATTCTTATCCTAATCTATATAGGACCTGAATTCTGAATTTAATCCTAACTAAACAAAGTTTGGCATCGCTTAATATTCGCTGCTTGAGTGTTTTAGTCAGTTATAGTTCGTTTGGAATCACATGCCTCGATATGTATTCAAAAATAGTATGTCGGCGTATGGTGCACTTGTTTTGCGCATGCTCTAGGGACTGCACTGCAGTGCTATGTCTGGTTCTAACCCTAGTCCCAACCCTAATTCCAACGCTTATCCCGCACCTTTTGCCTAATTTAACCTTTTCTTATAATCCTTACCCTAAATAATAAATTATATAACCCTAGCTAACCATAACGAAGTTTCTAACCAGGTTTGTACACTTACTGCTAATCAACCCTGTAATCTATACAAAAATACTTCCACTAATATCCCATACTTTTCAATAAGTTCTCCTTGTATCAAGACAAGACTTCTATCAGTTTTAATAAGTTCTGCAACTTTACTTTCAATGTGGCTTAGATCCACATTGATCACCTGAAAAACAAAAACATTTATTCTAATTATCGTAGTTATCATCAGTTAACCAAACCAGCTTATCATCGAATAAGCAACCCATCAGAGTGGGAAATTCTTTCACTTTTTGTTTTTGGAATATGATTTACGAAATTTTCAGTTTTAACAATTTTACATGGAATTGCATATATTTTATCAATGTCAATGTTTGTGATTTATCCTAAAAGAAATGTGGATTTTGCCCCATCCCCCAGTTATCAGTTTTATAATTAAATCACTGGCTTAAGCGGCTTGCTCCCCAGCCAAAACCTTCCCTAAACTATTAATTATATAGTCTACAGAGTACAGTAGATAATACTGTACGCTGAGGTAATATTTTTTACTTTTTTACAAATTTTGACTGTGGTATTATGGTACCGTATTAGTTTCGACATACAGTATGTATGTAATTGACTAATTTGAAAATGTTTTGTACATTACATCATTCCACATTATCAGCACATTTCTCAAACATATAGGGATGTGCAATAAGCAAAACTGTGGTTTTAATCTAAACCACTTGAAAAAGATTAAGATTTAAGAGAAGACCCTTCGTCAATAATGCATGCATGGCATCAGGAATACATGTAATAATAACACGTAGGAATGATCACTTCAAAATACTGTATAAAACCGGTTTTTCACTAGGCGAAATTCTGCTCATTCAAGCTCACTCACACTCAAAGAGTGGAGGTTCAATCTGAGCTCCCCTTGAGTGTCAGTGCAGGTTTTGAATAGCTGGAGGGTTACTCACTAGTCACATACTTAGCAAGCTCAGAGTGTGCGTGAGCTTTTATATATAGAATACAGGTGTTATAGTGTTTTCTAATTAGTTCCACCCGCGAAAACACAAGACAAAGAACAATTCCACTCCGCACGCAAAATTCGGCCTAGTGGAAAATCAACATAACATTGCTTCTCGATTTTATTTATTTATTTATTTATTTATTTAACATAACATTTATTTTTATTTTATTAATTTGGTATGTAGATAACTTGAGAATATTGTACATAACTTACATCCATAATTACATTGAACAAGAATATGGAGAATAGTAAATAGAAGGTGCCAAACACAAACGATACTATAATAGGTCCCATGTATGGTGCCCACCACTAGCTAGATGAGATAGTATAGAAGAGCAATACAAATAAAGAATAGAAAAATGGTGCAAATGAAAGGTGAAAGCACAGAAGAGAGAAGTGGTAGAATGAATGGAAGATATTGCTCTAGTTGCATGCAGGATATAATTACTCTACATACATAATTATATACGATATTATACTTCATATTAAATACAGCACGCAGCTCTAGAAGATCACCTGTTGCAGATCCACAAGATTTATTCTCCCTGTAAGACAGGTAAAATTAATTTGAGTCAGAATTAAGATTTTCCAAATGCAGACACAGCACGTACTGACAAGAAATAACTTATCAGAAGCTGAGCCTCATGCGCATGTACATAAAGCATTTTGTTGATCTATTGTGCCTCTTTGGGTGCATTCAAGTTCCTTTTAGCCGATGATATTGCTCTGAGATCATCACAATGCATAGTCAGACTTGCCAACTCTCCCGACATAGCCGGGAGTCTCCCGGTATCCTGCGATCTCCCAGTCTCACGGTAGTGAAAAATTACTCCCGTATTGGCAACTGGTAATTATCCTGATTTCTTGTAGATCTTAATGAATTTTATCGAGAAATATTTACGCGCCGCTGCGTAGGAGACAAGTAAAACTTGCTGTAAAAGGGGAAAACTTAGATTCTATAACGTTCGGAAAGTCAAAATTGAAATATTTATTTGTTAAAACATGTCTTTATGTCGTATTTTCAGTCCAAGATATAGTGTCCCCAACTTCTTGTACTCCGAGTGTAGCTAGGAGTTTGAACGAGACACTATAAATCTGACTGCTCTAATGAAAAGGGCTTTGATGGGTTTTCCTCCCTCTAAACAGCCAATTCTCCTACCAAATTAAGTGTTTAAATAAGAATTCTCCCTATATATCAGTTGCTACTGTAAGGTTGGCAGGTCTGCATAATTTGCCCTGGTATAAATTTGTAAAATACATGATTCACTGGCTTGATACACATTTACTGTATCTGGAACGACCAAATATGTACCTTACTTGACTACTTTTCTCTGCCTATAATGCCAGGCGATTTCACTCTTCAGGCAGGGAAAATTCTTGCACTTTATAATAGATTAATTAATTGTCATGCAATGCTGCAATATGTGCCCAAATGTAATGCCTTACTTTTTACTCTGCCTAACGCCAGACAATTTTACTTGTCAAGGCACACACATATGATGCTGCAATTATAATTATAGCAAACAGGTCATTGCATATTGCCCTTTAATGTATTGTGGCAATGCATCGCCTGGCTACTTTACATTAATTATTATTTTACTCTCACTGTCTAGGGGTGCACCGGAACCAGTTTTTTAAGTTCCGGCCGGAACCGGATCCAACCGGAACTGGAAAAAAGTTCCGGCCGGAAGTTCAGGCCGTAACCGGAATTAATTTATTAAGCCATATATAGTCATATGTTACTTTGTCTGCTGCCAGACAGGCAGACACTTCAAGTCATCAAGGAGAGACCTTGCAAATGTTAGAATAAAAAGATTGACAAGCGTTAAACGTCATAATGAAGTGTTAATAGTGTACATTTCCCTTGCGTAGTCCAAATTTCTTCCTACTGTGACCTTTTGTTAGACACAAAAACGTTTGACATTCTATCTCTCTGGAAACGACAGAGTTCCGGTTCCGGCCATGCTTTTTTTACTAGTTCCAGCCGGAACCGGAACTCTAAAAAATCGGGGTTCCGGCCAGAACTAACCGGCCGGAACCGAGTTCCGGTGCACCCCTACTGTCTAACACTTGATGATGTAATATTGTGATTATTGATGTTGCTTGTCAAAGGGAGAGCGCTGTGCCACGTACTCAATGGGTTGACAAAATTATGATTCCAAAGTTAGTGTCTATATTAAACTGCAGTACATGATGCAACAAAAAAGCCTAACCAGAGCACTTTTTTACTCAATACTAACTTAGTTTGAAGTTCTGGTATCCATTTAACAGATACCAGCTGGAAAATAATTCATTATTATTAGCAAGCATGACATGAGAAGCTTCCCCTTTGGAACTGTTCGGAACCTACTAAGCCATTTCCATATAACATTGCACAATAAAGAGGGGCCTGTACAGTTTTGCGGGATGGGTCTAAAATTCAAGTGGGATTCAGGATTTTAAGAAAAATATTGTTTGGGAAGCAGAATTTTATATCATTACAGGAAGCGGCCGCCGGGATTGATAAAAATATCCATGGTGAGATGTGGGAAAGTAATCCATGATTAGCGGGATACATGAGACAAATCAACAATGAAAATTTACAGCCGTATTTTAGCTTAACCTCCACATGGAACTGTTTGTTTGTGCAGGGACGTTGTGAAGCCATCAACATTGGGTGGGTGTCGTCATGTTTTGACCAACATTTCCTAGGATTTTGACCAAGTCATACAAATTTTTCTCGAAAATGTTGTGGGTGTTAAACATAACAAAAGCTTTAAAATTGTTAAAATTTGAAATGTGGGCAATGTTCACATTAGAGGGTCCTCACCACTCCTCACATTGTTATGAGCAGAACCGACACGCAGAACGGACTTGACTTCCACTTTAATAATTATAGTACTGCAGGTCAGGTTTTTTACAAGCGTACAAGGCAGGGGGGGGGGAGAAATTTGAAAGATAATAGTCATAAATGCAAGGATATCAGGTAATTTTACCAAAAACTAAATGACCTTCGACATGCTCCCTAGCCCTTCATAAATCAACCCCAATATATTTAAAACCCGACAACCCGCCCCCTGTCGAGGTTTATGAATAAGGTGAATTACTGTACATCTGTATATGTATATTAAAGTAACCAACTGACCTCCTTCAACAAATAATTCCTCTCGTATTTCTTTTTCTAATTCAGAAATACGAGAGAAATTATTTGTAGTACTGCAGGTCAGGTTTTTTACAAGCGTACAAGATAGGGGAGGGGGAGACATTTGAAAGATAATAGTCATAAATGCAAGGATATCAGGTAATTTTACCAAAAACTAAATGACCTTCGACATGCTCCCCTTATGTATATTAAACCAACTGACCTCCTTCAACGAATAATTCCTCTCGTATTTCTTTTTCTAATTCAGAAGGCGTGAGATACTCTCTGCCATCTGTAGTATAAATCACATCAATAAGCCCAAGGTTGATCAGTTTTTGAACAAGTTCCACACAATTTCGTTCAGATAGTTTATGAGAAGTGCTACTAAGCTGCGCTCTCTGAAAATCAGCTGCCAAACGCTTTACTTCTTCCCAATCACCCATTTTATTTTCTTGTGTTTATATTTTATTTTAATTTTTGGTTTTTCTTCTCCTAAATTTGATCAAAACAACAGCAAAGACACGTATTTTTCTACTCCTGAGCCCATGGTAATCCCCCAGCAGTTTCAAGCACATCAGAACTTCATATAAACCATATGTAGAAAAGTTGCTTCAGACTTACGTTGATGTTATTTGAAAGTACACGTCATCTGAACTTTCAAACGTCACTAATTTAAAAAAAATTGTTGATTAACATTGACGAAGACCTGAAATCGACATCAAGCACGTGGCGATACACGTGACTCGGAAATGGCGCAGTAATTCGCGAAATTGTCAAAAAAAATTTTGGCTTCCCATTCAAATTTTTCAAAAATCAATATTGTCAAACTGTTTTCCCAGTTTTACTGCCAATATGCCGTCCGATGCCGCTAAAAAACGGCAGGCTAAGAAGAAATCACAAGCACAAGCCAGGGGGAAGCCTAAAAATACGAACAACGAGAAACAAACGGCTACAAACGGCACAGATATTGTTACGAATGGTGCTACAAATGGCGAATCTATAGCATCGTGTACCGGCGTTTTGGCTTCACATCCGGAATCTAGAGATGTTCATGTCGAAAATTTCTCTATAACTTTTCACGGAGTTGAACTTTTGACTGATACACGTTTAGAGTTAAACTGTGGGAGACGATATGGATTACTTGGCTTGAACGGTTGCGGTAACTATTTTTTATATTGTATTTTATAATATGAACTTTCACATTATTAATTTTATTTTTATGTACTGTGTAATAAAAATAATAGAGATTCCTATATTTAACAACCACGTCCAGTACACAATTTTACAACATAATAGTAACATAAATCCTAATAGAGAAGATGATAATAGAGATGATGAATGTATAAAATAAACATTTTAACATTTTAATAAAAATATAGTACAAAGCATCGTCATCATTCTTTAAATACATAGACAAAAATTAAATGAAAAATGAACGTGTAAAGCCTAGTTCTCATTCATCGCAAACTGTCACCGATGATCGGCGACGCTTATCACCGATCGCGAATGCACGAAAGTTCTCATACATTGGTGATTGTCGCAGATGACAGCCGATGTGTTTCGAAATTTCACTGATATTCAAGATGGCTTATTGTTTGTCCTGACCTGTGCAAGAACTTTTAAAAAAGCTAGGGTCAGGTGCGCGATAGCCAACAGCAAAATATTCGCGAAAACATTCTGAATGAATATTTTCATTCGAGGCTGCTATCTTTATCAGTGATACCACTATAACCACAATGCAAAGCGCTATGAAAACTTAATAAGGGGAATTCTCAATTATTAACCACTAGGAAATTTTACACATACCGTACCTGCAAGTTAATCACTGAATACATAGGCTATCAAAACACGCCATAAAAGGACAGAAGAACTCGGCATTTCATAAGAATATATATCATCAAATAGTTGCGGTACTTGATAGAGGGTGTTGATGGGGTATATCGTGAGTTGTGATTCACTCAATTTCGGTTACCGTCAGTTGTGAAAACACTAAAAATTTAGCGTGAATCGTGAGGAAAAAAATACTGTTTAACGTTTCAGAACACTTTTCAAAGATTTACTGTTAAAATACCAAAATGTTACTTATTGTTACTGTTAAAATACCAAAATTGTTACTGTTTACTGATTTTCAGACCCCCCTCTAGACCCTCTTGATAGACAGTAGTTGAGTTGCTCACCACCTGATCACAAGTTACATGGAACTGAATACTCCATGTAAGACAAAGGTGTAAACCACACAACTATGATTTGCTTGAAATGTATTCAAATTTATGTGCTTTATCAACTAGCACATTGAAAGAATGGTAAAAATACAGTCTGGTAGTTAGGCTGCTGTGGCTATAACCCATTATGTTGCATTGCACCTTAATACACCCCACTTTATTATTTTACTTTGGGTAGTGAGTGTCTAATGTTAGATAATTTTACTCGTCATGGGGAGAGCGCTGGTGCTAAAATGGGTTAAGTGAACTAAAACCCTTATTATCATTGTAATATTTCAGGCAAGTCAACGTTAATGAATGTCATAGCAAATCGAGAAATTCCTGTGCCAACACATATTGATATATTTCATTTATCCAATGAAATGCCTTCCAGTGACAAAACTGCATTGGAATGTGTTGTTGAAGTTAATGAGGAAAGAGCTCGTCTTGAACATGAAGCTGAAATGTTAACAAGTGAGGGAGACCAAGGCAGTGAAAGGTATTAAAAATTCAATTTTAATTATGGGAACCCTGGGGTTATGATGTATACAGTATGAAGTTATGAAGCTAAAGACAATCTGGTTGCTTACTGTTCTCTTGTATTAACCCTTTGGCAGATGATTTTTTGTCAAGGGGAGAGTGAATGGGTTAACTTTAGTTAGTAATATTTTTCTCTAGATTGATGTATGTTTATGAACGTCTTGAAGAACTTGATGTTGACAAAGCTGTAGCTCACGCCGCTCGGATTCTTCATGGTCTTGGTTTTACTGCGACAATGCAAAGAACAAAGACGAAAGATTTCTCTGGTGGCTGGAGAATGAGAATAGCACTTGCCCGAGCTCTTTTTGTTAGACCTACTTTACTACTACTAGATGAACCTACCAATCATTTAGATTTAGATGCTTGTGTATGGCTTGAAGAAGAGCTAAAACAGTGAGTGTAGTGTTGGCTTTCAGAAATTACCATTATGAGGCACACATATTTATATGAAGGGAATAAACATTTTTCCCATTCTGATAAATTAAGGCGAGAATTTTTTTATTCACTAATTCGTTGGTTTACGGATCCGCTGACCGTAAATATTCAGAAAGTGAAAAATAAAAAAAAAAATTTTGATGTCAACAATTTTACGATTTTAGTTAAGAACCCCAAATTAACTTTAATTAATCTCTGGATTTTTTAAAATTGACCATTAAACAATTTTGTTAAAAATCCAGGGTTCGTCCGCTCGTATTTGAACCCTATTGAGCTGCATATTTGATGTCATGCAGATTTCGTTTTTACAACAGGACGTATAAGGCTATCCCACCCGAAATTGGCGCGAAAACCACCTAAATTATAATGACGTGGAAAAGTGGGAATATCGGGATTTTTTAGGGAATCCGGGATATTTTGGGAGCTTACTTGGGATTTTTACAAATTGACAGTGCTGGTTGTGATAATAAATGTGGAGATTAGCCATGTTTTTTCAAGTAGAAGTTAAATGTTTAGAAGATAAAAACATCGATTTCAAATATACTCAGTGTTTTTTTTAATGTTTTTTTTCTGACCTACCGACCTGTTGTTTTTTTAAGTCAAATCCGTAAACCAATAAATAAAAAAGTCTTGCCTAACATTAACCAGTTGATTGCCATCTGATCAATGCACATGAATATATATTATACTGTACATGGTTTATGTACTGTGAAAGCATTTCTTTTTAGATATAAAAGAATGTTGGTAATAGTGTCTCATTCTCAAGATTTTCTAAATGGTGTTTGTACAAATATTATACATATGCAAGAAAAAGGTCTTAAGTATTATGGGGTATGTATGTCTTGATTAGCAGGAATAGTTATTTATAGGGGTTATTACCCATTGAGTTGCATTGCACGTACATTTATCATAGAAATAATGGATAGAATTTAAAGAATAGATATATTCAACTTTGTTGAAAAAACAATTCGCACTCCCCGCAACCATGTGAAATTCCCTGCCACAGGAGTCTGGGGCGAGTCAAAATTTCCTTTGAAATCTGCCATTTTGTGGACAAATTTTGACTGAAAAAAGATAGGAGCACACATTCTACCTATTATTTCAATGGCCCTCATGCACCCTACTTTATTATTTTATTTTGTCTGGCACCAGACAAATTTTTTCATCAAGAGGAGTAGTGATTGACCGATAATCGGGCCGATTTTTGCCTTATTGGTAATTGAAATCGGTAGAATTACGTAGCTATATTTCTGATTGTCTACAGTATGTGAAACTGATTGTTGAGAAAATACCCACTTTAAAAATTATATGCATTGCACATTAATACATGTTGTGTTTTAATGCAATATGTTAAATTAATGCATGAAGCGTGCCATTTATTAACAGTTTTAACAATCTTTGGTTGCAGTAACATGTTAAATTTGGAAATTATTGTTAAAATATCGACATGAATGATCTGGCAGATTATGGCATGAATAATTGGTAATTTCTGATTGTTGCACAATCGGTCAATCACTAAAGAGGAGAACCTTCAGGCACTCAATGAGTTAATCAGACTATCTGTCCATACAGTATATACAGTATGCCCAGTACTCTAATTAATCAATTGAATTGATTTGCATGCACCCTACTTTATTATAATAATTTTACTCTGTCTAATGCCAGATGATTATACTCATCAAGGGGAGAATGCTGGCACTGAATGGGTAAATCTTAGTGTGAACTGGGTTTTTTCTGCATGTGCTGTTGTTTCACCATTGCTGTGGCAATATACTGTTTGCAAAGAAAGTTAGTTGTTTAATTTTAGTTCTTTAGTCATTTAGTTCTTTAGTGTTTTTTTTACAATTATATTAAATGCGTTCAACATGTTTCTTTCAGGGTAATTTTGACAGTTACATTAAGACAAGGGCAGAACTTGAAGAAAATCAAATGAAACAATATAATTGGGAACAAGATCAAATAAAACATATGAAGGTGGGAATAATTATTGAATTGCATATTTGTAAGGATATTTCATTTTGAGAACCACTGTCCTCTTTCCTACCCATGCAAGCGAAGAAACTATATAGTACCTAGTATCCTTTTATACTAGAGCAAGCGCCTAGAGCTGAGTTTGTGGGTTTGATTCTTGCTACGGACTCATGTGAAAAGAGTCAGTCCACACTCTGACGAAAGTCGTGGGTTTTCTCCGGGTACTCTGGATTTTCTCCAGTCTAGTTATTCATACATGTACCAGTCCTTTCTTCGCTGAATAGTGTACATTTCCCATATCCATGGAAGCATGACTCTTCTGGTTTTTATTGTTCTATTTCTCTTTTCAAGAGCATGGCATTTTAAGTTTTAATTTGATTTTGTTTAGGAATACATTGCCAGGTTTGGTCACGGCAGTGCTAAACTAGCAAGACAAGCTCAAAGTAAGGAGAAAGTGTTAGCTAAGATGGTTGCAGGAGGGCTAACAGAAAAGGTTAAGAGAGACAAGGTGAGAACTGTTGTTGCCATTTGTCCCATCTATTGTATACTAGAGACAAATCAATCTTCAAGACCCAGAAGGACAGCGTTCTTAGTTAATATGTAGTACAGAACAGTATAAACACAAAACAATTATCCAGACAAAGTATGGGACCACGGGTAACTAGAAAACAGCGCAATCCATACTGAAGTCGTGTTCAGATACAGGCCTAGGCCTGGGTTTTGCTTCATTTGGTATCTTACGCTGGTTGGCTTACCGAATAGTCGACCAATCAGTGGAGGAAAAACCTGGCCAAGGCCAGGCTTAGAATTTTAGTTACACGGCTTGGGGAGGATTGTATGAAAATCCATGTCATTTCATAGAAATCTTCTAGTTATTATAATTCTGATTGATGCGTTATACACTAAGCAAACGGTCGAATTATAAGACGGACTACCTGTATCTACTTTGATTAAGTTCGTCCATACAGATCATAATCTGTCTTTTGATGTTGCCTTTTGGAAAGACTGTTAGGTAGTGAAATGTACTGTATAAATAGTAATAGAAAATGAAGGAAGCAAAATGGTGTGACAAAATGGAAGTAATGTATTGTACAATATTTTAGGTGATTGCGTTCAGTTTTCCAAGTTGTGAAAAACTTCATCCTCCAGTTATTCAAGTGCAACATGTCTCGTTTAAATACTTGGAAGATAAGGTATGGTAAAGTCATACATGTACAGTATGTATACTGTAAAATGAGTTTCCCATGGTGCAGCAGATGGTGGTGAACCAACAGTTATCTGAGTGAGAAAATACCGTTGCTTCTTTTCATTATATGTATCTACGTAGGCAGTTGAAATCAAATAACAAACAGGAAAATTTACTTTAATTTACTTGCTGCTATAAGTGTCAGCATTTCAGAAGTCGGCCACCATCTACTTCCCCGTAATGTTTAACTCGCCATTTATCCTTTCGTACGCCATGCGACCAGGCCTTGTCCGCCATTTTTTGGTGGCAAGCTGCGCAGAAAAAGAGGATGAACAACAGAACAACACGGAAAGGGGTGATTTAGTGCAACATATACAGTTGAACCTGTATTGAACGGCCACCCTCTGGGATCACCCTTAATAGAGGTGACTGCTTAGTAGAGGTACAGCAAGATTCGTGTTATTAAATTTCATTTTATTAAAAGAACAAAAATGAGCAACGAGCATGGTTTGGAAGTTCCTTGCGAATGTCGGTACAGTACACTGCAAGCGAGAGGCGTATTTTCAATCAGTTGGTAGAAGTCCAATGTATAATGTGTAGGCAAAAGGGATATGAAGTGAAATAAAAACTTGTGTTGTCGTTCTACTCCACATGCTAAGACAATGGCAACATGCAATAAAGAAATGTCATATAGGCAGGTAATTTAGTGTTGGTTCACGGTCGCATTGCGCAAGAAAGGTTAATTGCCAATTTTTATGGTTGTGTCTGTGCAAGTGACGTCACTGAGTAAACGCTCAACCAACTTTTACTTTTTTCGTATAGCCGTATTTATATAAAGATGTAGATTTTGGTATTGATCTGGACACAAGGTTAGCCTTGGTTGGACCAAATGGTGCGGGTAAAAGTACATTACTAAAACTTCTTGATGGTTCACTCACACCAACTGATGGTCTAATACGTAGACATAATCATCTCAAGATAGGACGTTATCATCAGGTATTGTATACAGTAGTTGTTTTATTTCACACTGCATGTTCAGGTATTGTGAGCTACAGTATGGCAGATACTGTATACTAGTATGATGTGATGTGTGTAATACCAATGCTCCATAAGCCTCTCCATGACCAATACTCCATAGGTCTGTGACCAATACTCCATATAAGTTTCTGACTTCTTATTGGACTCCCTTTCCATCTCTATCTTATATTATCTTATTTCGGTGGCGCAGTTATCTGAGCAAGCGCCTTTCACATCTGAGTTTGTGGGTTCGATTCTCGCTACGGACTGATGATGTGAAAAGAGTCATTCAACGCTCTGCCGAAAGTCGTGGGTTTTCTCCGGGTGCTCCGATTTCCTCCCATTCTCGTATCCAGAGCCCTTCTTACGCGCGTTCGACCGAGCGCGACGAGGGGCTCTGGCCAAATCCATAACCGGATACCATAAAAACATGGTAAGAAAACAATATCCGGTGTTAGAACTAGCCAATCAGATGCCAGTTCGGATATGGATTTGGCCAGAGCCCCTCGTCGCACCGCGCGTAAGAAGGGCTCTGGGTACGAGAATGGTTTCCTCCCACAGGGACAGTTGACAGGGTGGGTTAGGATAAACACAGTTAAGACAGTATTGTTGTCACAATTGTTGTTTTAAGATAAATAGTCTATGCTAAGTAAGTAACACAAGTACTGTATGTACTGTAAGCGTAAAAGCCCCAAAGGGGAGTGAGCTGAATAATAATGTAATGTAATTATATTATCTTGTATTGCTTTTGACTGTGTTGTGGTGTGGAGTGGTGTACTGTATGTTATGGTGTTGTGTGGTATGGATGGTATATAGTGTGGCTTTGATACGATATGGTGTGCTGAGTATAATTTGAAACCATCTGATAGGATGCGGGAGTTGCTGCATTACATTGTATTTACTTTCGGCACGTCTTTTGCTATAATAAGTTCCCTGTTAACGTTCAAGTGCCTTTAGAACTGGGACATTATGTGCACACCGTACAATATGAATTATGAATAGACAATAATGTGAAACGTTGTGTTCCACAGCATCTACAAGATATGCTTGATTTGGAAATGTCTGCTGTCGCTTGGATGATGCAATGTTTCCCCGAGGTGAAGGAAATTGATGATATGAGAAAGTCTATTGGCAGATATGGTTTAAGTGGTAAACAACAGGCAAGTCAGATTCTTCGTGTGTATTGTTGGTATGCCTCATTATTACTGCATACCAGTGTTTCTAAATTCTAAAACTGAATTCAGAATTATAGACTATTAAACCGAATCTCTTTTCAAAAGAACAAAAAGCTAAGTGGAAAAAGCTGCGTACCGTGGCTATCATTTTCCCACCAGTTCTGCATAAGCATTAAGCACCTTAGATATTTGTAGAAAAACGTAACTACCTGCCTAGACTACCTAGACAGGTAACTATCTACTAAAAGAATATTTCGACGATTATTGTTCAATATGATACTGTAGATGTGTCCAATGAAGAACTTGTCGGATGGTCAACGTTGTCGTGTCGTCTTTGCATGGTTGGCATCTCAAGGACCTCATCTTTTGTTACTGGACGAACCTACTAATCACTTGGATATTGAAACTATTGATGCCCTAGCTGATGCACTCAATGATTTTGATGGGGGGATGTTGTTGGTTAGCCACGATTTCAGACTCATAAGTCAGGTACGTTGGTTAACCATGATTTCATACTCATAATTGAGTCAGTCATTTTAATATGTTGGGTAACCATGATCTTGGACTCATAAATCTGTTGTCTTGGTTAACCATTTATGTTGGTTAGCCATGATCTCAAACTCGTAAGTCAGTTATGTTGGTTAGCCATGTTCTCGTGCAATCAGGCTCATAAGAGCGAATTTAAGAGCGGAAATTTGGCTTGTGCGTATAAGCTACAGTACTGTAACTAAATTTGCGTCATAAACTAATGTGTCATATATGTTTCTCCACAGGTCGCCAAAGAAATATGGGTATGTGAAAATCAAGCTGTTACAAAATGGGACGGCGATATCATTTCATATAAACGGACTCTAAAGAAAAAAGTACAAAAATATGTTGTCGAATAAATAAACTTTTAATATTAAATACTCTGTCAGTAACTGTAAGGCACCCAGTGTACAACTCTATACATAGGTCAAGATATTTTGTTGTATAAATATATTGCTGTAAATTATTTTGTACAGTAAGAATTTATCAATTTGCTAAACTATTTTGAACACTATAAGTAATAACGAATAAACTAAAATATATACAATTTAAAAATTGGCATATTTTGCGAAGGAATTTTAATATGAGTGCATACTATATTTATATAATCGAGATATCTTTTAGAACTTCCTTTTCTTTAAATAATTCCTTTTCAGAGTCACACAGAAAGACTTTCCTAACCTTATATTGCTAACGAGTACAATAAAATTAAACTTTCTTTGACCGCCATATACGACCACACTTTCTTTGTTGAAAAGGGTCATGGGAAACCTCCATCGTGACAATTATTTTAGGCACAGGAAGCGTAACAGTATACCGCAGCCACAGGAAGATCTTGAAGATCTGGGCCTCCCATTTTCAAAAGAACAACATGCGCATCATCTCATGACCTGCCTTTTACATGCACACAGTCAATGTCGGGAAGAATATATATCGTCCGTTTTATTATAAAAATGGAATTTAGATTGTTAGGAGGTCTATGCATTACACCATAGTTAATAGAATAGATGGTTTGGAAACTCATTAGAATAACAATACATCTCATTATCTATGTTAGTCAACGTTTATTTATAACTCTGGTCCTTCACCTCACTTGTGTATTGTGTTTTTGCTAAATTCAGCAGCAATGTTTTATGAAAGTTACCTATCCGTGACTAGAACAATAGGGTAAATTGGAAATTGCTATTGGTGAATTTGGCAAAAACACAATACTCACGTGAATCAGTTATGAATAAACGTTGACTAACATAGATAATGAGATGTATTGTCATTCTAATGAGTTTCCAAACCATCTATTCTATTAACTATGATTACACGACATGTTTCGTATGGATCAGTTAAAGGTACGGACCGTCAGGGACAGCAGAGCTGGGGGGGGGGGTACACTTTTCGATGCAAAAGGATAAAATCACTCATTGAAGTTGAAATATGGAATTTTGTTAGGGGAAATGGACATGTTTAAATTATTTACAATGGAATCCTGCATAATTCGTAGTATTGGCTTGACGTCGTTCTATACTGCCTTTGATTAATCTTCCCCAGGGCCCTAGCTAGACGCGATAATTGGGGGGAGGGGGGGGTGTGCATTCATATATTCATGTTCACATACCGTAAAAACAATCGCTTTCAAAAGAAATCCGTCGGGCAGATCACGAATATATGAATATGCACACCCCCCCCCCCCCCCCCC